GGCGCTCCACCTCGCTGAGCCGATTTAATTTTCAATACCTCTTAATAAAAAAAAAAATACACGTTTGGCTACTACTACTACAAACTGTTTTTAAAACTGGGATTCAGAAATAAATACTGACATGTATTCACTGGAAATACAAAGGTAAAAGTTTCGAAGGATTTTAATGCCTTTACAAAGGCATTACAAATTAGCACCTCTGCATTAAAACTGCCCATAAAGGTGTTTTATATACTTAACTTGGCGTATAGCTTTAAATCACACATAATGAAACAAGAAACAAGTAACGTTCGGATTCACGTCTTTAAATAAAATTTTGTCTAACAACTAGCCATACAAAGCGGGCTGGTTAACTAGCTGTACAGCAGGCGAGCAGCTTTGCCTATCGTGCCTATGTTGCCTTACGGACCAAGACCGAGCGAATAGGCTGTAACCCTCCCCCACGTGTGGCACAGTGTAACTACAGAAATGCTCTGGTTGAATCAGCCACTTGGTATAATTGTACGCAGCACGGATACGACTGCAATAATTTGAGCTATCACTTTGCACCCCTTGTGGTCCGTGGGGGTATATAAGCTGTATGCGCTGTGCTCGACGTTGTGTTGCGAGTGTGTGTGTGTGTGTGTGTGTGTTGCGAGTGTGTGTATGTGTCTGTGTGTCCGGGGTCGTCATATACCTGGGCTGCTTGGTTTGCGGCGACCCCCTGGCTGCGGTAAGGCGTGCTGACTGCGTAGTAGCTGTTTACTTCTCGTTATGGAAAGGCAACACGGTCCTCCCACGCGCCCCCTCCTCCTCTCCCATCACCGTTCCCCAACCCGCAACCCCTCCCCTCTCCTCCTTTACGCCATTCAAAAGCTGCCGCTCCCAGCCCTCCTCTGCCCCGGCTGGACAGAATACGTCCAGTGGAGCGCATTGCGCCTGATAAAAGACGCAGACACAGACACATACACGCAGACACAGACACGCGAGCGCGCCGACATGTGCGCGACAGACACGACGGGCGGGCGAGGGTCGCAGTCAGTGCAGCAGCCGCGCTCCGAACTGACACGCAATTTCCAAAGCGAAAACTTTTAACGATAACACTTTGGTCGAGATATTGACTGGAGCGCTCGCTCCGCTACACGGGGGTGTGCTGCACAAAGGCGGGCGCGGCACGCGAGGCGCCGCCGACAACGGTCCGAGCCGGCCGCCCCCGCGCCGCCCCCGAGGAGCCCGTCTTCGGGTGGCAAGATAAACAGCTGAACAACGCGGGCCGAGTGAAAATAAACAACCCCCGCCGGTGTTTATCTGAGGTTAATCCGGCCCCACCGGATGGAGATAACCGTCGCGAATAAATATTCATGTTCGTTCGCACTGACGGAAGACCTTCTCCACCCTGCGGCCGCACGAGACACCCCCCATCCACCTCCACCCACAACATCCTCTCTCTCTCTCTCTCTCACTCTCTCTCTCTCTCTCTCTCTCTCTCCACTTCCCTCCTCGGAAGCAGCCCGCGAGGCCGCGCCACGCGCAGCACAGCAGGGAAGGCAGAAAGCAGAAACCGGCCAATTAAGAGCAAAAGCCGGACCGGTCGTTCCCGTTTGTGAAGGTGCAGCGGCGGCGGCGATCGCGCGGGCCTCTGGCTCGCCTGTGGCGCCGGTCCTGGGCGCCCTTGGGCGGCCGCACAAAGAGGGGTGGGGTTGTGGCTTTTAATGAGGAGAGGCGGGGGTGGCGGGGGCGCAAAGCTGAAGGTGCGCCGAGGACAGAACGACTAGTGCACAATAAGGTTTAACTAGGGTATGTTCATTTCTTAGATACCGGTGTCAGCTCGGATCACACGTTTAAAATTGCTCTCCAACATTTCATAGAGTTCTCATACGTCCAATTCTCAGTCTTGTTGGAGGAGAGAGTGCATGAAAGTGTTTTTTTTCTTGCATCGGGAGCTTTCCGATATTTTGTCAAGTTCATGCAGAAATGTATTGCATGCGCCTCTGAAAATTCATGTGTGATCTATAGTCTAACTGGTATAAGTACTGCAATACCATGTGTGTGATAGTACTATATAGTACCACACTTGTATCACACTTTAAAGTGCAAACTAAAATAAGAAGGCTCCCTACTTTAAACAGAGCTCATCGTCATTTGGTATTTTCTGTACATCAGACATGGTGCAATCTTCCCAACATTGATTGATACAATCATGAAATATCCTTACATGGGCAATGTGTGTAATTGTTTTCATCATGTAAATACTATTAGAAAGAGAAGAGATTGCTACTGTCCCAACGCGACCCGTGTCCCAATGAACCCCACCTTCCGAACGTGATGAGACCTATCGCTGTAGCTGCACAAGGCTGCCAGGCACTGCCGCCGCCATGGGAGCTCGCTCCGGCTATGGGCGCCGCGGCGCCTCACTACACCACATCACCGCAGCAGCAGCAGACTTCCCGCAGAGAAATGTAGTTTCAGCGGCAGAGCTCAACAATCCAGACAAATCACGCGGGGCCAGGGCCGGGGCCGGGCCGCGCGGGGTCGGCGCCCGGGGGGCAGGCCGTGCCGGCGCGCAGCGCTGCCCACATGTTGCCTACCCTCCGGGCGCTCGCCGCCCGCCAGCCCGCCGCTCGGCAGCCGGCAGGCTCTCTCTCTCTCTCTCTCTCTCTCTCTCTCTCTCTCTCTCTCTCTCTCTCTCTCTCTCTCTCGCCTCCGCCCGTTCCGCGCCGTGACGCACAACCTCAGTCAGCGAGGAGCAGGAATATGACACTGGCTGTCGTTTGCCCCCCTCGAGCCCCTCTGGCCCCGGCGGCCTCCGCGTGGCCTCCTCCGGCTCGGCCCTGTCTATTCATCTCCCGTCATCACCTGGCTCATGCACCCATAAGTCACCGCCCCGACGCTCTCTCCCCTCCCGCTCGGCGAGCGCAGCGCTCTATCCACTACATCTCTCTG